AAAAATAATAATAATAAAGAATAATAAGAAACTAGTATAAACTAATAAAATATAATAATAACTATAAGAAAAAGAAAAAAAAGAAAATTCTATTACAATAGTAGTTCAATCAAGTAAATAAAGGCAGAATTGCTTAATATATATATATATATATATATATATATAACTTAGTATAGTGGTTTAGTTATTACTTTTTCCAAGCAGCAGATTTAAAGTTTAAATTCTATAGACAATAATTTTGAAAAATAGGTTTGAATTATAGTTGATGACTACCAATAATCAGTTGGATCTAGAAATCTGTAATCTTAGTAATACTATCTAAAATAGAAGCTTTGGCATACAAATAAACTTAAAAGATCAGAATAAGGAAGCTAACAATTAATAGGTGATTTTCTAGAAGAGGAGATTAAAAAAATTAAAATTTTATATATAAGACCTAATCAATTATATATTAAAAACTAGAAGAGGAGTAAGTCTTTGATAAAAAAAATCAAGTGATAAATAATACTGCCCTAACTAAAAACTTATTTGGAAAGTTCTGAGTTAAAAAATAGCAGTAATCTTTGATACAGTTAACCCTCCATAAGTACACTGCATACAGACTACAAAAAATCTTGCATTTAGAGAGGTATTGCATTTATAGTGGTAAAAATTTATAAGTGTATATATAGTAAAGCCACAGTAAGACCATGCATTTAGAGAGGTCTTGCATTTATGAAGGTTGTATTTAGGGAGGTTTGACTATAGTGCTACAAAATGGCTAAATTTAAACTGGAGCTCAAAATTAGAGAACTAAATAATTAGATTCTTAAGTGAGAGAATATATTAGCTAAACTGGCAAGTTTAGATGTATTGAAGAAAAAAGATATATGCTCTAAAAATATATTAAAAGAAGAAAGACTATTAGGCATTTAAAGCCTAGACAGACTAACTTTTTTAAAGTGCTAGCTAGAAGTAAAGAAGGGACTAATAAAAAATCTGAGTAAAAAAACAAACCAAATATAAGTACTAAAGTTGTTGTGAACTTTACAAAGACAAAAAGTAAATAATAGGCAACTAATTAAGAAAGTTGTGGCTTGAGATACAGATCAAATTATAGCAGTATTCTAAAAAGTAAACTTAAATTATAAAGTTATCGAACATATAAATAAATATATATATAAAATATGAACTATTTTGTTAGATTTATCTTGAGAATAATAAAGTATTCTAAAATGGCTAGTAAATATAAAATATTACAAAAGCTACTACCAAATAGTAAATTATATTTAAAATTAGACCAAATATGTTATAACTAAAAAGTTTAAATAGATAACTCTGTAGTTTGGTTATAGGTATGGCAGATAGTGTAGAATCTTTGAGCAGACTATTTAAATTAAGCACCAAAAGTATGTGTAGCTTGATATACTTTCATTATAATATATAGTATAGGGTTCTGAGATTTAATTTGAGTTTGATTTGAGTTTAACAAACTTCAAATTCAAACTCTAAATTTTTCACAAATTTAAACTCAAACCAAACTCAAATTTGTTTATTTCAAACTCAAATTAAATCAAATTTTTAGTACAAGTTTGGTTTGATTTGATTTCAAAGTTTGCAAACTGTTTGAGTTTGAATTATACATATATAAATTTATAAGGTTTAATAAGCTTCGCACCCCTGCATTATAGTTAAATATCATTTAATAAAGTGTGATACTAATTATATACTACACTTTATAAAAGTTTATAAAAGTTTATAAAATATATAAGTGATACTATATAATTATATATTACACTTTATTTTAATTATATCCCAAATTTCCGGGTTATAATAGCCAGAATGTATTGAAATTAGAGCTGGAATTAGAGTTAGATTTGGCTATATGGGTTAGCAAAAGCTATAGTAAAATTATTAATAAAGATCACTAAAATTTTACTAATAAAACTATAATTGTTAGGCAAAATTAATCAATTCTGGTCTATTTAACCAGATTTCAATACAATTCAACTCAAAATTTGGATCTCTATATATAAGTTAGATCTATTAATATAGTGTAGTATTTACATATATAGTATATTTCTTAAAGTATAATAGCTAAAATGATGATACAAATTATTAATTCTTGCTGTGCCAATAAGAGAGATAGTAGTATACATACATATGTACAGTCAACTCCCTCTAAGTGCATATTCTCTAAATATATGTTCTTTCTATATATATAAAAATAGCCTGGTCCCAAGTCAGAACTTATAAAATAAGTGCATGTTCTATATTCTCTAAATGCAGATTATTTTTCAAATTATATGTATAAATATTCTTTCTAAATGCATTTTTAATATATTAAATAATCAAATTTAAGAATATTTATTTAGATAATAAAACAATTAAAATTTGTATATTTTATTTCTTTTAATAATAATAATATAAACTAATAATATATAATAATATAATATTTTAAAAAATTATTATTATAAAAATAATAGATCTTTAAAAATTAATAACATTTGATCTATTGATTCAATTTGGATGATTTAACTACCAAAATAATCCTCTTATAGAGGCGATTCTAATGAATCTAAAATTAACCAAATCTGATCATGTGATCTCGAGATTGTTAATATTTTATATTATATTTACTATAGTAAATATAATACAAATTATTAATAATCTTAAGCAAGATTATGTAATTAGATTTAATGAATTTTATATCCATTAGAAACAACTTTATAAGAGGATCATTTTGGTAGTTAAATTATCCAAATTGAATTAATAGATCAAAAGTTATTAATTTTTAAAGATTTTATTATTTTTTATTAATAAAATTTTTAATAATTTTAATTTTTCTCTAATTGCAAGTTCTCTCTAAATGCAGATTAAAGTACTGGTCCTGACAATATGCACTTAGAGAAAGTTGACTATACATAATACTAAATCTGCAACCATTTATTAAACAAATTATATGGTTTTTACATATTTATAGTAATAGACTTTCTTTATTATAATTTACTTTAACTATAATACAGTAAATGCTATAATACTGATTTTTATATTTTCTATATAGCTTTAGTTTCTTCTTTGCTTATCATGAGTTTGATTATGGCTTATATTCTTCTTATGAAATGCAAAGTTGTGCCCAAGTTGAACACATGTGTAATATTTGTAAAATTCATGAATTGAAGCATCACCATATTTTTGTTCTTTTTTAATACTACTAACAAATTTACAGTTTGAAGGCCTTTCTTTATCTACAACATGAAGTGGATTGTAAATATCAGCAAGGTTTGATGTTTTATATTCAACCATAATAGTTTTAAATTCTTCTACTTCATCTATTTTGGTTAGGTATGATTCATCTGATTCTTTGTTAGTATTTTAGCTACTAGTTAAAAGATCAGAAGACTGATTTGTAATTCTGCTTTGTTCTTGATTTACTATAAAATTTTGTTCTATCATTACAAAACCTCTTGCTGATTTGTGTGTTGCAAAACTCTTTGGTTGGTTTAAATTGTTTGCTTGCTTTTATTTTTTTTTTCATTGATATATTTTGTCAAAATTTAAGCTATTTCATTATCTAGCTAACAAAGTTGTCTCACATGCAAGTTCTAAATTTGACCATATTGATTTTTTTTATGAATTGTCTTTTTTATAGCAAGTGTAGTAGTAGTTGATATAGTAGCTATTTTGTATAAAAAAAGAATTATCTCACTACTTGGATCTAAGTTAAGCATACCTTTTTCATAGCTAAACACTATATTATCCATTGATGTTGTTTAATCTTGATATGGATCTTTATACTATCTAACAAATATCATTGATATATAAAATGCTACGATCTTGGAATGTATCATAGCACAGAAATAATATTAGCATATAATGCTCTTGGAGATATTCATTAAGTATAAGCATAAAAATAAAATTTGATTAACAATTACTACAAAGTGAACATGATATCTTTTTTCATTATACAAGTCAATAATTTTCTAAATTTCTCTTATATCTTTACATCCGACTTTATCAATTATAGCTTGAATGTTATGTTTTTTGCATTATACTGATCTTTGAAAAACTCATTACATGTTTGTTTGATTTCCTATATTTAATTTTGTTATTATACAATACATATATAAGATTACTTATAATTTTTATTTATTTACTTTTTTCTAAACTAAATTATTATTGGTAGATTCGATCTTGCTTGTACTAAGAAAAAAACATTGGCCTATCTCAGTTTTAATTGCAAAGTTTATTGCCTCTGTTAAGTGTTTATCCAATATTTTATTAATTACAGGAAATAGATCTTGACTGACTGTAGACACTATTAAAATAGTAGTTGATGATTTATATTTATAAAACCTTTTCTACTAATTTTCATCTTTTAGTTGCTGGTCCAGGTATTTAACAAGTTCATATAAAGTACTTTTTGAGTTTAGTTCTTTTTTTATTATCTAGTTATATAATTCTACACATGCAGTACTCTCTATACTGGCTGTAAAATCTTATACAAATATTCACATGCCCAAGATCGACAATTTGAATTTAAGGCTTTAAGTAGATAATCCTTTGCTACAAAATATTTATTTTTTATTTCATTCCATCATTTCTTAAAAAGAGACACATATAAGCTATTTTGACACCTATAGAAATTTTTTATAAATTCTTTCTATTTATTTTTTAGCTTGGATTTTAAATTCCTTGGAAGATTTTAACTAATATAAAATATAGTGGGCCAAATATGTAGTTGGGAATACAATAGGAATTGTAGCATCTAATGTTGGGTTGGTATCTATAAATATTACAATTAGTGGTTGATTTGTGGCCTTGCTAATTGACTGCAAAATCTATATATAAGGTAAATATATCTAATTTAATGCAGTTTTTAATTTGATACACAACAATATCTTGTGAATCAATGATTAGAATTATATAATTTTAGCACTATTCAATTCATCTCATTGAGACAAATCGAATAGTACCAAAATCATTTAGTTCTAATCGATAGTTCTCAAGATACTCTATTTGGTCAAAATAGTCCAAGGTAGATGTATCTAATTTAACGCAAGTAAATATTTATAGTGAATACTATGTGACTAGGATTGGTCAAATTACTAGTTAACCAAAAATTTGCTAGTCAAACTGGTCTGGTTAAATTGGTCAAATAGTCTGGTCAAATTGGTCAAATGGCCTAGTTTATTAAATAAATAACTTTAATATACAAAGTAAATATATATATATATATATATATATATTTTTTTTTAAATATTAAGGTGACCACTTAGGCCCTTGGCACTTTATTAGTACAAGCGGTAGGC